ACAAACAAGCATGAAAACCAATGCATACGAAGCTTGGGAGTTTTCTTGTGCTTTTCCACTCCAAGATCCGATGTCCACTGTTCCATGCCATACATTATTCCGAAATTCCAATTGTTTCTTAATTGACATTTCATCGACTTGCAAGCCGAACTGCAAATCTTTTCCTTTCTCTCTTTCTTCATCAATAATATTTTTTAAACTGTCGAGAATAGGTTTTCCTATTCCTGGGCTTAGATCAACAGTTGTGAACCACCTCCTGATCGTTTGAGGATGAGGCAAGGAGTGAAGGAATTCTTCCCTAACGTATTTATAAGCACTAGAGGAGTAATACAACAGAGTGCAGGAAAATTGTTTCAGTGCTGGAGAAAAGCTTTTTTGTTTTTTATTTAAAAGTTTGTTAATAATTTCAGAGACTGCTGGAGAGGAACATATCTAGGAAAAAGAGAAATGGAAGAAAATATTAACGTAAATGAAATTATTATGAAAAACATTATATTGATGTAAAAATTGTTATTAATTTTATAAGTTGTTATGTATTATCATACACAGAGCAGTTACTTAGTTGGTACTTAATTTTATTTTTTCATTCTATATAGGACAAACAATTTTATAATAGTTAAAAAAAATTCATAAAAAAAATTATTTAAAATTACTTACATATTAACTTGCCTTCTTTTGAAATAAAAATTTATGTAATTTAGAAGTTAAGAGCTTCATTTCAAGTGTTTGAAAGTAGTGAATGCTTTAAATTCTTTGGACAAAAAAATTATAAACGCTACTTAATTATAATTTAATTTAATTTACACATTTCCTATGTTTACGAGAAAACAATATTTGTATTATATATAAATCTGGAAAAATATGTGATTACATTAGATTCGCTGGTTAAAAATAACTTACAAAAATAAGTATCAAAATAAGTGTAAAAATAAAATAATAATTACAATCTCTGTGCTTTTTACAAGTTAAATATTTCTATCAAAAAATAAAATAAAATAGGTAATACATATTTAAGTCTCACTATTAGAAATATTTGCTGTTAGGGCTGAATATATTTTCATTCATCAATTTAATAATAACGCTAAACTTCATACACAAGAAATTGAAGCAAACAAGGTACTATTTCATGTATTCAATTTGTTGTTTATAAACTGCATAGTTGACTATTGTTACATTTTCACATCATTTATCCTCACTGAGTAACGTACTTACATTCAAAGCATCAGAAGCTTCATTAAAAAGGAGACCATTCTTTTTAAGGTGATTGTACATATCTTGTACATTAGAGATTTTTTTTTTTAATCTATTTATAGACTGCTTACATATTTTTTTATGTTTCAGCATTTCTTCACGAAAATCACTGAAAATTTCAAAACTTCTATCAGATGTAAAATCTTCCCTTTTCAAATCTCCTATGTACCGTGCTATACACAATCTTTTAACATTTTCATTCGTATGACTAGATGTCCTGCAATTTTTTATATAAACTTAATTATTA